TGTCGGCCTGTTGCCGCCTGTGTCCGACTGTAGCCGGCTCCGCCTGTTCCCCCGGGGCTGTTTCTGCGTGTTTTGAGGCTATTTTGGGGCTGGTTTGGGGTGTTTGGAGGCTCTTTCTGGGTGTCGGGGGGCTGTGTCCGCCTGTTGCCGCCTGTGTCCGACTGTAGCCGGCTCCGCCTGTTCCCCCGGGGCTGTTTCTGGCTGTTTTGGGGGGTTGGTTTTTTGGGTATTTTAGGGAGAGTTTCTGGTTGTTTCGGGGTATTTGGCGGCTGTTGCTGGCTGTGTCTGACTGTGTCAGACTGTACCTGTCCCCAGGGCTATTTCTGGCTGTTTTGGGGGTGTCAGGGGGCTGATTCCCGCTGTTGCTGCCTGTGATTGATGGTAGCGGGCTTCGCCTGTCCCCCCAGGGCTGTTTTGGGGTGTTTTGAGGCTATTTTGGAGATGTTTGGGGCTGTTTTGGGTGTCAGGGGGCTGTGTCCGCTTGTGTCCGCCTGTAGCGGGCTCCGCCTGTTCCACCAGGGCTCTTTTGCGGTGTTTTGGGGCTGTTTCTGGACGTTTTAGCACAGCTTCTTGGTGTTTGCGGGCTGTTCCTGGCGGTGTCCGCCTGTATCCGACTGTAGAGAACTCCGCTTGTCTCCCCAGTGTTGTTTCTGTTTCTGGGTGTTTCGAGGCTGCTTTGGGGCTGTTTGGGGGTATTTTGGGGCTGGTTTTGGGTGTTTCTGGGTGTCGGGGGGCCGTGTCTGCCTGTTGCCGCCCCTGTCCGACTGTAGCGGGCTCTGCCAATTGTTTCGAGACTCTTTTGAGCCTGTTTTCAAGTTATTTGGGGGCTGTTTTGGGGTATTTTGAGGCTGCTTGGGGGTATTTTGGGGCTGGTTTTGGGTGTTTCTGGGTGTTTTGGGGCCGTGTCTGGTTGTGTCCGCCTGTAGCGAGCTCCGCCTGTTGCCCCAGGGCTGTTTCAAAGCTATTTTGGGGCTGTTTGGGGGTATTTTGGGGCTGTTCAGAGGTATTTGGGGCTGTTTTGGGTGTCTGCGGGTGTCGCGGGTCCGTGTCCGCCTGTAGCGCGCTTCGCCTGTCGCCCAGGGCTGTTTCAAGGCTATTTGGGGCCTGTTTTAGGCCATTTTGGGGCTATTAGGGGGTATTTTGGGGCTGTTCTGGGGTATTTGGGGGCTGTTTTGGGCGTCTCCGGGTGTCGCGGGGCCGTGTCTGGTTGTGTCCGCCTGTAGCGCACTCCGCCTGTTCCCCAGGGCTGTTTCAAGGCCATTTTGGGGCTGTTTTAGGCCATTTTGGGCCTGTTTGGGGATATTTTGGGGGTATATTGGGGGTATTTGGGGCTGTTTTGGTTGTCCGCGGGTGTCGCGGTGCCGTGTCCGCCTGTAGCGCTCCGCCTGT